TTATATGGTATGTTGTTCATCAACGGGGAGTGTCGAGTTTAGATCATTAAAAACAGGAGCAGTGGCTTGGGGTCTTTTGTAACCCCGGGTTTTATCTTTCCTGTGTATTGTAGATATTAGGTGTACTTTGCAGGGTCTGCAAAGCAGGCAGATTGTAAATGTCTAAATATATGTTTATTTAGCTATTTTTAAAACAACTGGATATGTTAAAAAATCAAAGTTATATATTGGTGCCTTTTTTGTTTGTTTTTAATTTTGTGATTCTGGCAATTTATCCCAGGACCTTGTATGTGAGAGGCAAGTGCTCTACCACTGAGCTACATCTCCAGCCCTTTTTATTTTCATTTTGAGACAGGATTTCACTAAGTTGCCCTTGCTGGCCTTGAACTTGAAATTCCACTGCCTCAGTCTTCCTAGATGCTGGGATTAGAGGTATGTACCACCACATGCAGCTTTCTATGAGGTTTTTTGATAATGATTTTAAACAGTCTACCTAAGAATAAGTTTCTGGTTGACTGTATACATTTTTTCTGACTTGACATCTATTAAAAGTAGAAGGAAAAACACCAGTTATTTTCAAATAGTAACCAGAAAGATTATCAAGGTAAAATTAGGAATGATTAATTTTACAACATGTATAGCCAAGCTATACAAGACAAATATAACAAAAGATTAAAACAGAACCATTTCACCAAATGTTACCAGACTAAAGGTACCACGTATTCTTTCATTACAAAATGAAATACATGTATACAACCTACACATGATTTCCAAATGTATGGTTGAAAATAGATTTTTGAATCCATGGTGCCTCATCCATTTAAAAATAGTGTTTGCCCAGTACAGTGGTGCACACCTGTAATCCCAGTGGCTAGGGAGGCTAAGGCAGAAGGATCACAAGTTCAATGCACTCTAAGCAATTTAGCAAGGCCCTAAGTAACTTAGTAAAACTAAAATAAAAAAGGCTGGGGATGTGGCTCAGTGATTAAGCACCCCTGGGTTCAATCGCTGATACAGAACAACAGCAACAAAAACCCCAGAGAGCTGGGTGCAGTGATGCACGCTTGTAATTCCAATTACTCGGGAGGCTGAAGCAAGAGAATTGCAAGTTCAAGGCTAGCTTGGGCAACTTAATAAGATCCTGTCTCAAATTTTTAAAAGGACTGGGGAACATAGCTCAGTAGTAGAGTACCCCTAGGTTCAATCTCAATCCCCACCCCCACCACACACACACACACACACACACACACACGTATTAAAGTGGAAGGGATGAAGAGTTCTAAACTGAAGAAACGTTTTTTTGAAGACAGATGTGAATGGAGTTTTAGTACTGAGGGTGCTTTCTCTTCCCTGCAAGCCTAGTGAATAGAATTCTAAGGAGATCAGTTGGAGAGTGTGATTTGTCCTTGGAGCTTGAGAGACATAGTAGACTAATATCAGAGCCATAACTAAGAAAAACAAAAGGGCAGAAAGTTAAGGTGATAGTCCAGGTAGCTAAACAGGACTGAGGTTGGAAAATATCTGCATTCCTTTTGTCTAAAGCATGTGTTTCCTACAGACAGATGTGGGCAGGCATGGAGTTGCCTTATATTTTGCCTTTGAAAACAACTTAGATGGCTAGGCAACCTCAAAAGAAAGATACTGAAGGTATATTGCCAGGTGCTTGGAGGCAGAGGAAAACACTAGCTCCTGGTCAGAACAGACACATTTGCTTAAATCAAGAGAACTACAAATAGGAGATACCTATAATAATGAGTGGAGTGGTAGAAAGTAGGATCTGATGAACTTCAAAAGTGCCTATAGATCAGGTTCAATTCTCCCACACAGCCTGGGGTGCTGACCTGAGATCACAGCAGTAATGGAAGACTTTGATTACTTTACCTCCCCCCTCCTGCCCATCCCAGTCCCATCTTGACTGACATTGATGGGGCCAGAACTATGGCTGGGGTAAGGCAGAGGAGGAAAGGGAGAATCATGAGATGGAAAAATCAAGAAACTAATGATGTCCCCTTTCCTCCTATAGCCTTTATACCTACAGCAAACCTGAGCTGGGAAGCATGAAGGTGTAACTTGAAATTATTTGGAATTCAATACATTAGTATTAAAACCTAAGACTTTTAAATTATTGAAAAAGAGGGTTTTAGTGATATAAAATGACAAGATATTAACTATAAAACATGAGGCTGGGATATAGCTCAGTTGGTAGAGTGCTTATCTTGCATGCACAAGGCCCTGGGTTCAATCCCCAGTGTGCGCGCGCACACACACACACACACACACACCCCAAAAAAACATAAAAAAACCTATAAAACGGAGATAAGAAAACAGTGGTGGGGAGGGTACTGGGGTTGTGACTCAGTGGTAGAGAGCTTGCCTAGCATGTGTGAGGCACTGGGTTTGATTCTCAGCATCATATAAAACAAACAAACAAACAAATAAATAAAGGTATTGAGTCCATCTAAAACTAAAAAATTATTAAAAAGAAAACACAATGACAGGCTAGGACTATAACTCAGCTAATATAGTGCCTGCCTTGCATGCACAAGGCCCTGGGTTTGATCCCCAGCACCACCAAAAAAACCAAAAAACAAAACAACAACAACAAAAAAACAACTCACTGGCACTGGTTTGTGATTTCATCTGGCAATAGGAAAAACTGGCCCCTTAAGAGCAGGTGTGTGATTAAAGTAACACAAGAAAAGTAAGAGTCAATTTAGAAGTACTCCTTGCTTGTTTAGTGTATTGGTTAAGGATATACATAGCTCAATGGGTAGAATTATAAATTTTTAGTTGGTGTGCTGCAAGAGTCCATTGTTAAAACTGACATTTCACATACTGTGGTCTCATCTATAAAAAAATAGCCTACCTGGAGGTGGGGGGGCATGGGAGGATTAGATGAACTCTAGATAGGGCAAAGGGGTGGAAGGGGAAGGGAAGGGGCATGGGGGTTGGAAAGATGGGGTAATGAAATGGACAGCGTTAACCTAAGTACATGTATGAAGACATGAATGGTGTGACTCTACTTTGTATACAACCAGAGATATGAAAAATTGTGCTCTATATGTGTAATATGAATTATAATGCATTCCTGCTGTCTTATATACCAAATTAAATTTTTTAAAAATAGCCTACCTATTAGAATACAATTTTCTGGCGTTTTTAATGACCAGAGACCCTGTTTGCCTTCTCAAAATCCCTACGACAGTGTAACGTACCCAGCCTCAGTTCTAGGAGTTTTTCTGGTTGTAATCATTTCCTTAAAGTAATTCTGAATTTTTAATAAGTCGAAATCCTCCACATAACACAAAATTCAAAAGGTACAAAAGGGTATACCTATTTCTTACCTATTGAGGACTTCTTCCTATTCTCCTCTAGAGATAATCATTATTATCATCATCATCATCATTAGCAGCTACCAGGGATTGAAGCCGGGGAGGGCAGGGCTTAACCACTGAGCCACATCCCCAGCCCTGTTTTATATTTTATTCTAGAGATAGGTCTCACTGAGTTGCTTAAGGCCTTGCAAAGTTGCTCAGGCTAACTTTTAACTCTCATCCTCCTGCCTTAGCCTCCTGAGCCACTGGGATTACAGGTATGCGCCACCAAGCTCAGCAATATAACTATTACTACCAGTTTCTTAGTTCCTTTTGGCTCTTGAAAAATGAGGCTATAGTCTTCATTAAGACAGGCTGTTCAGGGCTGGGGTTGTGGCTCAGCGATAGAGCACTTGCCTAGCAGGTGCGGGGCCCTGGGTTTGATCCTCAGCACCACATAGAAATAAATAAATAAAGATATTGTGTCCAACTACAACTTAAAAAAAAAAAAAAAAAACCTGGCTATTCAGCCGGGCTCTGCAGCTTGGAAGGCTGAGGCACAAAAATTACAAGTTTGAGGCCAGCCTTAGCAACTTAATGAGACTCTGTTTCAAAGTAAAAACGATAAATAAAATGGGCTGGGGATGTGCCTCAGTGGTAAAGCACCCCTGGGTTAAAAATACATAAATAAAAGACTAGCTGTCCAAGCATTAGAAAATATGATCAAAGTTATCAAAGATATTTCCAGGATAGTAACTTGACCTAGGGGAAAAACTATTTCCACTATAATTAGAGAAATGAGCTGGAAGGACTAGATATAATTACTAATTCACATGGAGATCCAGGTTATGTTAAGGTATGAGACCCACTAGGGGGAAAATGTGAAAGGGTTGAGCTACCATAAATTCTGGGGTAGGGTGAAATTGAGTCTCATGGCTCCTACGTAGGCCAAATGAGCTACGGCTACTTTGTTCTTCAGTGAGGAGCCACATTAGCTTGAGTCAAAATTATACTGAATATCAGTGTCTACAACCTGATGAAATAACACTTAACAGGTCATTTATTATATGTCACAAATGTAATAATTTAAAATTGAAATTTTTATTGTCTCCATAAAGCATCATGTTTAGTATCATGACCACAACAATTGTTGCTGTCATCATCCTTATATAGTTAATGTTTATTGAATACTTACCAAACCATCACTACCACCACCACCACCATTATAATTATGACTAACATTTATTGAGTTCTTTCAATGTGTGAGGTACCACATAAAGAGTTATCAGGTAGAGCCAGGCCTGGTGGTCTACACCTGTAATCCCAGCTACTCGGGAAGCTTAGATGGGAGAACTGCAAGTTTGAAGCCAGCCTTGGCAACTTGGTGAGATTCTGTCTCAAAATTAAAAAAAAAAAAAAAAAAAAAAAAAAAAATTAAAGGGACAGGGATGTAGGTCAGTGGTAGAGTGCCCCTGGGCTCTATTCCTAATACTGGGGAAAAAAAAAAATTTGGTTTTAGGTGATCATCATAAGTAAACCTATGAAGAAGATACTGTTATCTGCCCATTTAATAGATAAGAAAAACTGTATTAAGATGAGAAAAATGGATTAAGTAATTTCCTCAACATCACACAGTTAATAAAAGACAAATCCAGGATTTAAACATAAGCAGTCTATCAGACTCACCTGTTATTAGGGGGCATCCATGGAAGAGTAATATTTGTATCTGAGGACAGTAAGTAAGGACAGCTTTTACAGCCTCATCAGTCAGATTTACACAACCTGCCATATGAATCTCCTATTTAAAAAAAGAAAAGAAAGTGAAAAGAAAAAGTAGATCCATAATATAATACACACATACACACACACACAAATAACAATATAAGAAAGGTCTGGGAAATACTCATATGCAAAAAGAAACAAATATCTACTTGAAAAAAAAAAACTATATAGAAAGGACCACATAAGTCTTAAATAGTTTGGAAAGTAAAGCAGCATTAAAAGTTAAATGCTCCACTATTTTATAAAGCAATTTGGCAATATCTATTAAAACTGAAGACGTGTATACTCCAGAACACAGCAATTCCAATTATAAATGTCCAATACAGAGAAACTTTTCTACATGTGCACAAGGAAATAATTAAACATGCCCACTACAAAAAAATATTTACAATAGTAAAGAGGTGGAGAATTGGTTTAAAATATACTTTATTAATAAAATATAATAAGATAAAATATTTAAAATTAAGAAGATGCAGTGGTGCACAGTTGTAATCACAGCTACTAGGGAGGCTTAGGCAGGAGGATTGTAAGTTTGAGAACATAGTGAGCAACTTAGTGGAACCTGTCTCAAAAAGGGGATGTGGGTGGCTCAGCAGTAGAGTGCTTGCCTAGGATGCATGAAGCCCTGGGTTCAATCCCCAGCACTGAAAAACAAAAAACAAAAAAGAGTGAAGGAGGGGATGAAAAAAGGTCTATGAAATACCTAATTAAAAAGGCTTGATCTTCTGCTTAGAAAATAATTTGAGTAGGGCATGGTAGTAAACACCTGTAATACCAGTGACTTTTGAGGCTGAAATAGGAGGATTGCAAGTTTGAGGCAAGCCTCCACAACTTAGCAAGACCCTATCTCAAGATAAGAAATAAAAGGGTTGGGGATGTAGCTCAGTGGTAGAGTAACCCTAGGTTCAATCCCTAGTGCTACAAAAAAATAAAAACAAAAATTAATAAAATATGGGGATGATGTAAAATTTAGTTGCCATCATCTCTAGAGATATTTAAAAATTACCTCTAATTTCTTGGCACATAATCCACTCACAAGTGCAACCACACCATTGTCAGATACCTAAGCAAAGGGAAAAAGACACAGCCCATAAATGGAGTGAAGGAAGTAAAATTTTCTAAAATTTATTAATCATTTAGAGAGTTTGTCTTCCATTCAGCAAATGTGTCTTTTAGACATACAGCTCTCACCTTTGTTGCTTAAAATAATTAAGAATACACCAATTTACAATTCTTTAACCAACAAAAGCATAAAGTGGTCAATAATTTCAATAATAACCAAAAGAATTATGTTCTTCTGATTAGTTATGGAAATACATTGGGCCTGAGTAGCCCTCAAAAAGACCCTTATCATAATCAAAATTCTCCAGCCACCTCCCACCATAATTAAGTTTTTGTTAGCAAGATTTTTAGAGTGTCAACAGAATTTCACAGGATTTCTTCAGGGACCTTAATGGGATTTAAAGCTTCCTATTTCTTGTAAATGCTAGGTTTGTAGAAAAAAAGTGTGTGATAGACTCTGTCTCAAGAGAGCTCACTGTATAAAAGTTACTATTTCTGTTTTCTGTGGTAAAAACTTGTGAAACTCTGTCTAGCCTAAGAATATGGGACAAACAGTAACTGTTATGTACCTGCCCACTGTCATGTAATCACTCCACTGAGTATAAATCTAAAAGAATTTTCACACCCAGGGTCCAGAGATTTTTAGGCATTAACCCCTCCGGACCACTGCAGCTTAAATAAACCTGCTTCCTAAAAACTTCTCGGGTGTCTAGCCTCATCTGTCCTACATTAGGCCAACACATAGTCTATATGTTTCAAGTCCATATTTCACTTACCTGAGTAGCTGAAAAGTCAATACTCTGCAAAAATGGGCAGTTTTTTCCTAATGCGTGTAAGGACACATCAGTAATACTTAAGCATCCACCTAGATCGATAATCTTGAGCAGGCGGCAATTGAGTGCAAGAGCAAGGACTCCTTCATCAGTGAGATTGCAGCACCTTTTTAAAATAGCTTCATGGAGATATGAACAAGATGAAGCCACAGCTTTTATCCCTGGGGGACAACATAATATCAATGAACTATATATGTGTGTATATATTGTGAAATTAAACATTCCCAAAGAAACAACTTTGATAGAATTTCTTCAGGCAAGCAGCAGATGGACAAATTCTTCCCACTAGGAGATATCAACACAGGCAGGCTTATGGGCGCCTATATAAGGTAAGACACCAAAGGCTTATTTTATAAGGGTTATTTTTGTCCTTTAGAAAGCAAGCCATTACTCCTGACTTTTGCATCTGACTTACCATTCTCATGTTTAGGTATATCTTCCAGAATGTATAGACTTAACTGACCATCTATAGCTTGACAAAGTAGACTGACCTTGACTTCCTCAATCTCCTAAGATGTGGTAAGACCATCTCATACCGGTGGTCAAAATTTCCCTACTTTTTACTTCAACATGCCTAAGTAATGTCCCCACCAATGTATTTGCCAAGTGTTGTGATTTACAGTTACCTTTGTTCTCTGTATAAAAGTTGTTATAGCTCCTTTAATTTGGAACACTTTTTCAGGGCAATTTGAATCAGTACTCCTGGCCTAGGTCACTTACATTTGTCTTAGAATAAACAATTTTCTTATTTCCTTCAAAGATGAATCATTATTTTGCATCAATAATATATATGTGCATGTGTATGTGTTGTATATGTATATGAATGTTTGGTTAAATACTAATTAGTGCCTAAAAAGCCTGCAGTGAGGACTTCAAAAAGATGTGATAATGAAGGAAAGAGGGGAAGCTGGCCACTTCCCTTATCTCTAATCATTAGGTGAGAATCTAAGCAAAGTGACCTTGTTGTAAAGGAAAGGAATGTACTCATAAAACATCTAAGGACTTCATCTGACATGCAACCTAACCTATATATATATTCCCCCTGCTTGTAGGTGTAGGGTGACCCTCATTGTATCTTGGCCCACTGCTGCCTAGGAGGGTGTAATAAAATGTCCAAAATCTTGCTGTTGAGTCCTCCAACTTTTTTTCTTTGGGGACCGTAAACAATATGCTGGGGCTTCTGCAGTCCTGGAGCTGAACAATGAAAAATGTGACTGATTTTCATTTTAGCCACCACCAATTGTACGTTAGCCATTTTCAAAGTGGTTCACCTGTTACTGGATTTAAAAGTGCTGGCTGCCTGTCCTATCGTAGGTCAGTTAAGTTGAGAGACAAGGTATTGAGGCAAGAGGGTGACTTAATTAAAAAATAGGAAAAGCTGGCTCAAGGAGAAAGGTGACTTGTCACAAACAAAGCCCTTTTTGGGGTGGATGGGAAGGAGACAGGTGTGCCCAAGGACACAAAGTCTGGATTACTTAATTCCTCAAGGACAGATAAATATGCCTAAAATGGGGAAGAAAGGTAAACTTATTTCCCTTGAAATTAGGGAAGGGGAGAGATTAGAGAGGGACAGGGCGAAAAGAAGAGAAGAAACATGAGCATCAAGCATAAAGTAGATCACTGTTACAGCTAGACCTATATATTCTCTCTTGCCTCACCTTAACTTGGATTTCTTTCTTTCTTTCTTTTTTCTTTTTGTAGTACAGGGGAATTGAACCTAGGGGCACTCTACCACTGAGTTACATTTCCAGTTCTTATTTTTTGAAACAGGTTCTCACAAAGTTGCTGAGTCTGGCCTTTCAACCCTCCTGCCTCAGCCTCGTGAGTTGCTGGGATTACAGGGTGTGTACCACCATGCTTAGCTAAATTTGGATTTCTGTTCTATCACTATGCTCCTTCTTTGTCAGCTGGGACCAATCTTATGTTTCACTGAAGGTCAAAAAAAGAGAATTCCTTAAATCAATTAAATAGATGTAAATGCATGCTGGATACTCAATACATAATGCTATACCACATAAATAAAAGGAATATTCTTCAGATCCTGGGACCTTCAGTCACCACAAACACTGTAGAACTGTGACTAGATACCCTTATGGGCAACACACAAAAGGGAAGATGATAAATTCATGAATATGTAATTTTTATTGTTTTCATATTTATTTTTGGTACTGGGGATCTAACCCAGGGGTGCTTTACCACTGAGCTACATCCCCCATTCCTTTTTTATTTTGAGACTGGCTCTCATTAAATTGCTGAGGGTCTTGCTAAATTGCTGAGGCTGGCCTCCAACTTTTAATCCTCCTGTCTCAGCCTTTTAAATTGCTGGGATTACAAGCCTGCTACATCACACCAGGCTTGTTTTCCATATTTTAAGAAAGAATGATTATTTATTTATCTGCTTCCAGAAGGGAAGTTGTGGTATAAGAAGAAATATAATTGGTCTTTGTCTCTAGTTCCCACACAGAGTCCCTAAAACCCTTCAAATTTCTTGAATGTCTCTTGTTATTCATAATGAGATATTTTGATTATATTTGGTTTAATGCTAATGTGGTAACAATGTGGGGCCTCTAGATAGTCTCAGGATGGGGACTGCCTCCAGAAAGACCAAGTGATTAAAACAAGAGCTTGCCAATCCAACCACTGACCTTTGGGAAAGGGGGTGGGGCAGGTAAACTCTATAACAACTCTTAACCACTTGGGAAGCTGAGGCAGGAGGATTTTGAATTCAAGGTCAGCCTCAGCAACTTAGTGAGGCCCTAGGCAACTCAGTGAGACCCTGCCTATAAGTAAAATATAAAAAAGGGCTGGGGATGTGGCTTGTTGGTTAAGCACCCCTGGGTTCAAACCCCAGTACAAAAAAAAAAAGATGCTTAGGGCCTTGCTAAATTGCTGAGGCTGGCCTCCATCACATTAGGCATCACATAAGCTTCATAAAAGATACAGATGAGCACCACATGCAGAGAAGGATGGGGGAAGGGTCATAATGCTCCCACCCCTCCCAGAGGTGCCACCCTTCAGGGACTGTTGTAAGTTTGGGTATCCAGAAGTTCCCTGGGTTTAGTCTACCCATTTATTCAGTGATAATAAGCATACCTTCTGATGTTATAGAAACTCTTTCTCCTTCTGAGGAATTTATATTTAATTTTTTCAGTTTTTTGCATTTACACAAGTGTAGGAGAGCAGCATCTGAGATATCACAGCTCCGTAGATCTAGAGCTTGGACATCAGGATGTAAAATCTGCAACAAATACATGATGTTGAGAAATGAACTTTTCTATAAATATAAACATTTATTCCATAGTCAGGGTTTTGATGATCTTAGCAGACAAGTGGTTAATGGAAAATACAGCAAAGAATGCAGAAATATATCCATGTGGAGACAGATATGTAAAGCAGGAAAAAAAACAGGTCAGCTTCCAGTTAGAGGTACAGACTCAATGCCTCCAAAGTCCTAATCAGGATGCAAGCACTGTTGAGATTGTCACAGGAGAGTGGGAGCTGAAGCTTTAAACATTCGTTTTTGTGTTCTCACAAAAGAAAATCCAAAGACACTGAAAGTCAAGCAAGAGAACTTTATTATAAGTGAAAGTAAAGTAGATGAGAAGTGAGAGTAGGGTGAAAATAGAGTAAGGCTCAAGCAGAGAGCACGCTCATGGAGAGAGTGGGCTGGCTTTGAGCAAAGGATCACAAAGGAAACAGTGCTGTTTTCAAATTTATTGCTGTTAGATGTTTGCTTTGAAAACTGGGGACTGCCTTTTGCATTCTTTGCAAGTCAGGTGTTCAAATTCTCCTTCACATCAGGTGGGTGGTGAAGTTTTTGACCCTAGTTGGTCCTCTCCAAAACAGTCAATAGTGGCCATCCTACTCAGAGGGGCTTCATCTATAAGCACATCCTATGTTAATGTGGGCATTGAGGTCAATGGTTGGTCAGAATTTGCCTTAGTGCACCTGCACTATTAAAGAAACCTCTCGGGGCTGGGGATGTGGCTCAAGCGGTAGCACGCTCGCCTGGCATGCGTGTGGCCCGGGTTCGATCCTAAAAAAAAAAAAAAAAAAAAAAAAATCTCTCTCTTTAAATAAATAAATAAAGAAACCTCTCTTCTGAGATATGGTGGTGGAGTTTTTGACCCTAATCGGTCCTCTCTGGAACTATCATGGTGGCCATTCTAATCAAGGGGGCTTCATCTATAATTCAATCCTATGTTAATAGGGCCAGTGATGGGGTCAAAGGCTACCTTACTGAGCCTGCACTACTAAAGAAATCTTCCTTACCATACACGGACACCTATAGCCTTAATTCCTGATTTCACACCAACCTCAATGGACCCTGTCAAGAGTCCATTAATCCTTTTCTTTTGATGTATTTCTTCAATTAGCTCCTTTTGCTTACATTTATTTTCTACAAATCACCTGACACCATTTGCTTTCTCATTCACTTTGAAAGTAGTTTAAAGACTCTAAAAGTAATATGAAGAAACACTTCTGACCTTGCCATGCATTTCACTGCTCATTACTAGTTACTACCCAACAGAGATGACTGGTATATTGTAAAGACCCCTGGATCTGGAGAGGCAAAACCACTGTTACTGAGTGATTCTTTCTTCTGGAAACTCCCAACAGTCATTAATAACTCTCCCTATGTGAGTCTTTGCTAGCGTGTATATCTTGAGAGAATAAGAAATGAGTTACTGGACTGAGGATATAGCTCAGTTGGTAGAGTGCTTGCCTTATGCATGGGGGTGGGTGGGACCCATGTCTTTAGTCCTGTACAAGAAGGACTGTTAATGACTTCGAAATTTTACAGAAAGAGGAATGAAGGCAATGGTGGTGGTGATGGTAGTGGTGTTTCCATATAGCTGGAAGAACTGCACACCTGCTAAAGCAGGTGATCTTGACTGGTTATGGTCTATCCACAATTACCTCAGGATTGGTCAGGTGGGGACTTTCCCCTAAGAAAGCTGCTACTGCCTGGAGGATAGCTTCCACTCATTACATAATGTTTATCAGATCTGATTTCACATTTGCCCAAAGCCTGTGATCAGAAGGAAGTAAACTTTGATACGGTATTCTACCACACAACTAGTGCTGTGACTATATTGTTCCTGGAATTTAAGGTGCCTGAGTGAAAGAGACAGATGAAAAATGGAAGCATGCCTTTAATCTTGCCTTTAGCCACCCATTGGACATTTGCAGGCAAAAATGAATAGTCTTTAAGTTTTTGTTATAAACGATTACAGAAACATTTAGGAAATATTCCAAAAAGATTAAAACAAAGATGTGTGTAACTTTGCAACAGATGTCATAGCTCACTTTTGGAATAATTCTACAATAGAACACTTGTAAGCATGAGAATTAGAGAAAGAACACCAACAACAATCAATGTTTGCTTTTCTCATTCATCCCCTTTGCTCCTTTATGTTTAGATACATTTAGGTTTAAATAAATGTTAAAGACTGCCATAAAATAAAAATTTATGTCTCTGAAGTGTAATATGAAGAAATAGAAATGAAGATGGTGAAGAAGTGAAGAAAACAATTCATGTTCTATAGTATCATAATAGTCACACGTAACATTTTATCCATCAACAGAATCATCAACAATAGGAAAGTGGGAATATTATTCTTCCTCCATAGAGCCAACCAGACTGCCACTGTTCATGTTCAAATGCAGGCTAATAAAAAGAAAACAAAGGTACCTCAGGTTAATGTAGAAGAAACACTGACACACTGAAGCACAATGACAATATAGTCACAGCACTAGTCGTGTGGTGGAATACCATCATCAAAGTTTACTTCCTTCTGATCACAGGCTTTGGGCAAATATGAAATCAGAGCAATTAGCAGTTCTCTGTAGACAGTGGTAATGGTGATGGTGATGGTGGTGATGGCTGCAAACCAAATCTTTAAAAGTAAGAAGTATAGAAACTATTAACTAGTATTTTCAGTTTTTGAAACACAAAGAACAAAAATGCAAAAGATAACACAGGAGTAATATCAAGGGGAATAATTTACTATGCTAACAAGCTTAAAAAATGAGGTGCTAAAGGTGAAGTCCTAATTTGAGGAGCTATATTGCAGTGTATGGTGCCTGGGGCTCTCTGACTTAGTGCTCATCACTCCAATCCCTCTCCAGGTCTCCTTCATCAGCTCAACAGGGCTGATACAGTCTGAGAGCTCCTTTACTCTTGTCACTGTCAGGGGTTAAGTGCTCACAAGTCAAAATAAAACATTTGGAGAACACTATATTTCAAAAGAAAAACCATACCAATTTCTGATTCCTAATTCAGTAACAAAGGAATTAGAGTAGATATTAATACTCATAATAATATTCTAAAAGAAACAAAGGAAAGAATATTGTAAGATAAAACAAGAACAAGAAATCATAAAATGGTAAACTACAAATAGTAGGTATGAAAAATAAAATGGTTAGAAAAAAGAACAGCTTAGATGAGATAAACAGACAAGCTGAGGAACAAATCAGCAAGTTAGAAGGAAGTGCAAAGGATGAATAGAAAACATAAAAGTTAAAGAGACCTGGGAGATTATAGAAATGCTAACATATGGATACTAACAGTCTCAGAAAAGTAAAATTAGAAATGAAGAGGTGAAAACATTTGAAGAAATAATAGAAAAAATTATTGGCATAAAGATGGAAGATATATTGATTTTTCTTTTGGAAAAATACAAAATTTTTTATTTCTTTTCTTACATGAGGATGTGTTGTGTGTATGTGTGTGCATTTTGCTCTTTTTAGAAGGAAATTTTTATATTTTTACCTTTTGTACACCATTTTTAGTTTAATAGATCTTATTGGCATATCATAATTTTTGAATATCAACATCATGCCCAATCAAAAAAACAAAAACAAAAAAACAAACCAAACTTATTTTTCCTTTTTTCCCCTTTAACATTCTCATACTGGAGATAGAACCCAAGGCCTTCAACATGCTAGGGAAGCATTCCACCACTGAGATATATTTCCAGCCCACCCTCATTTTTAAATTTTAAGATAGGTCATTCTCTAAATTGCTGAGCCTGGCCTTGAATTTGTGATTCTCCTACCTCAGCCTCCAGAGTAGCTGGGATTATAGGCATGTATCACCAAGGTCAGCCATTATTTTTTTAATATCAAGAAATGTGTTAATTTCCTATGCCATCTATTCCTGTTTTTGCTATTTTAACACATATAAGTTAGCTCATATATTGAAAAGGTGAGTTGGGTCATTTGTGATCAAGTGTTGAAAATACATTCTTTATTCTAAACAGTTGTTAAGAACAATCATAGAGCCAGGTATAGTGTAGTACACCTGTAATCCCAGTTACTCAGGAGGCTAAAGCAGGAGGATCAAAGTTCCAAGCCAGCAACTTAGTGAGGCCCTAAACAACTTAGCAAGAACTTGTCTCAAAATTTGAAAAAATAAAAAGAAAGGGTGGGAATGTCACCCTGGGTTCAATCCCTAGTACCAGTAAATAAATAAATAAATAAGAAAAATCACATATATAACTTGAAAAGTCTTATTTTTTATTTAATTTTTTTTTTTTGCAGTTATAGATGGATAGCATGTTTTGTTTTTATTTTTATGTGGTGCTAAGGATCAAACCCAGTGCCTCATACGTGCTAGGCAAGTGCTCTGCCACTGAACTATAGCCTCAGACTAAATTTTATCTTATTTATTTATTTATTTAGTACTGGGGATTGAACTCATAAGTACTTTATTACTGAACTATATTCCTTGTTCTTTTTATTTTTTGAGACAGGTTCTCATTAAATTTCTGAGGGCCTCATTAATTTGCTGAGGTTGGCCTTGAACTTGGAATCCTCCTTGCCTGAGCCTCCCAAGTCACTGGGAATATAGGTGTGCACCACTGCTCCTGGCTTCCACCACCTTTAATAGCGCTGTCTGAGAAGCTAACCTAGGTTTATTTGCTAGGGATGTCAAAACAAATTACCACTAAGTGGGTGGCTTAAAACAAAAGAACTTTATTTTCTTGTAGTAGTGGACGCTAGACATCTGAAAACAAGGTATCAGCAGAGTAGAGCTGAGAGCTCTGAGGGAGAGGCTGTTCATGCCTCTCTCATAGGTTCTGGTAAGGCCCAGCAATCCTTGCCACTCTTGACTTCCAGGTGCAACACTCCAATTCTGTCTCCATCTTCTTATGGTGTTCACACAGTGACTCTGTGGTCATCTTCTTATAAGGATGCTAGTCATATTGGATTTGGGGCCCACTGTACTTCAGTATAATCTCATCATAACTAATTACATCTGCAAAGAACCTATTTCAAAATAAGTTCATGTTCTGATGTATTGGATGTTACTTCAACTTTTGTATGTGTGTGTGGGGTGTGTGTGTGTGTGTGTGTGTGTGTGTGTGTGTGTGTAGGGTGCTATTCAACCCATAATACCACCCAATAGTCATCTGAATATCCAGGAAAATGTAACATTATTCCATCTCCTATTTACTATTAATTGAAGCAAAGATTCTAATTATTTTATAAATCTGTAAAGTAAGATGATAACTTTTAGAAAATTTATAAATACAAATTTTTTTTTTTGAGAAATAGAGAAAGCTCACTAAGATTTCTGTTCAGTTGGGTGTGATGGCACATGCCTCTAATCCCAGCAACAAGTAAGGCACAGGCAGGTGGATCACAATTTGAGGCCAGCCTCAGAAATTTAGGGAGACCTTGTCTCAAGATAAAAAGGACTGGGTAAGGTTCCTGGGTTAAATCCCCAGTTCCAAAAAGGAAAGGAAAAAAAGATTTCTGTTCAGGCAGGTGTGGTGGTGCAGGCCTCTAATCCCAGGCAAAAGGCAGAGATAGGAGGATCACAAGTTAAAGGCCAGCCTCAGAAATTTAGGGAGACCTTGTCTTAAAATAAGAGAAAAAAAGAACGGGGGTAAAGTGAACCTATGTTCAATAACCAGTACCACCATCCAAAAAAAAAAAAAAAAAGTTTCTGTTCAGTAGAAAAGACAGCCTTAGTGGTTAATTTTATTTTTCTATAAGACATTTTCCTTTCTTTCAATGTTTTTAATTTTTAATATTGTTTTTAAAGTGTGCTGGAGATCAAACCTGGGCCTTGCACATGCTAGTCAAGTACTCCACCATTGAGCTATACCCAGCGCCAACTCTTTCTAATTTTATATCTAATATAATAAATTGACTTCAGCTTCTTTGAGTCTTGTTTGTTTATGCATAGAGAAGTGGGTATCAGTTTCTTGAATACTCTTGAATTAAGTTTGCATTTCTACTAGTTCTTTTACTAATGAGGTATTTAAAATGTTGTTGGCACATGTTTACTATTTGTGTAACAATCATATTTTTTTAATATATATATATATTTTTTTGGCACCAGAGATTGAACCCAGAGGTGCTTTACCACTGAGCCACATCCCCAGCCCTTTTTCTTTTTTATTTTGAGACAGGATCTTGCTAAATTGCTTAGGGCCTTGTTAAATTGCTGAGGCAAGCTTTAAACTTTTGATCCTCCTGCCTCAGCCTCCTGAGCTGCTGGAATTACATACAGATCTGTATCACCTCACCCAGCTATTTTAAATATTTTTGAATTATATTTAACACATGGAAAAGAACAGAGCAAAAGGATAATTTTATATAATCTTTCAGAAAGTTAATTATTTATTGAATGTAAAAAAGTATGAACCTTCTTTTTCAACAAAAGAAAACAACCAACCTTTACCACTTCTACTGACCTAGTCGTGCTCTCAGTTTTAAGTTCATATGATTCTCCACCCAACACATTTTCAACTCTGAAATGCTGTAATCCTCATAAAACCACGACAAGTGGTTACTTTTACCTTCCATTTTACAGTTCAGAAAACCAAGGGTCCATATAAGAAAAAGTGGCAAAGCTGGAATATTAATTCAGGTTGGAGGTCCTTGCTATACTCACTTATAAAAAAGTCAATGAAAAAGGCACATATGTCCAGAAGATAAGCTGGGTTTTAGGGTAAAGGAGTCAATAGAAATTAGCAGGAAAAAGTGAGGTATCCAGAAAAATGGGACTAGTTCCGGAAAGTGATTTTTTTCTTTTTTTGGTGGTACTAGGGATTGAACCTAAAGCTTCATACATGGTAGGTGAGAACACTATCACTGAGCCAAATCCTCAGCCCTAGAAAAGTGATTTTTAATTGCTGATAATTATCTATGAGTAGATTATAAAATCAATTTAGTAGGTTGTGATAAATATTTTTAAAAATGAAACAAGATAAAAATAGAATAAAATAAAATAGAAAATACCAAAGCATACTACTCACCATCTTGTATACATAAGTGTGATTTGTGAACTGGAGTTATGATGAAACATGTATTTCTTATTCCAAGTCTTGATTACAAGTTTTAAACTTTTTAAAATCATAGATATACAGAGTAATAGCACCATGAAGATAAGGGAAGTAACTGAAAGAATAGTGAAGAACATATGGGCATTTTTATTATCTGGAGGGAAAAAAAATCCCAATGCTTTATTATTATTATTCATTTATAGTGGGGATGTAAATCTAGGGATGCTTTACCACTGAGCTGAATCCCCAGCCCTTTTTATTTTTCTGGTACTGAGGTTTGAACCTAGAGATGCGTTACTGCTGAGTTAAATCTCTAATCCTTTTTACTTTTTTGAGACAGAGTCCTGCTAAATTGTCCATGCTGGCCTTGAACTTGCAATTCTCCTGCTTTAGCCTCCCAAGTAGCTGGGATTGCAGGTGTGTGTGCTATGTGCCCAGTACTCCCCAATACTGGAAATATTTATTATATTGTAAAATTTTTACTAATCCTACTATATACCATTCTATTCATACTATATACTAATCTTACTATATATCATTGCTCCAAGACTCTAAAACCATATTTTAACAGTAAAATAGAATTGCTTTACAGTTGTGAATACTCTTACCTCACTTATATTTGAATCTGTTATCTGCCCCTGCAAGCTCATTATGTTAATCAGTCTATCTTTTATGCTGGGAGGCAAAGGCTTAAGGTCTGTGATATATCTGGAAATATTCTCGATGAAGCACCAAAGGCATCTGAAATACAAATACAAAGTAATAAATTACACTATGCCTGTACTGGTTCCCACATTTGTCAGTATTTCTGTTAGTACTTAGCTCTTTCATAAAACAGTGTATACTTCTGGCAGGGAGGGAAGATATTGGGGATTGAATCCAGGCGCACTTTACCACTGAGCTACACCCCAGTCTTTTTTTTTCCCTTTGTTGAGACAGGGTCTTGCTAAATTGCTGAAGCTGGTCTTAAACTTGAGATCCTTCTACCTCAGCCTCCTGAGCAGCTGGATAACAGGCGTGCACTGCCATGCTTGGCTAGTTATTCTCTTCCTAATGAACATTACTATTGTTTCTAGGATATGTTATCATATATCGTCAGAGTGTTTTCCAAAAAGTCTATAAAATTTCTTTTTCTTTTCCCCAGTACTAGGGAGGAACCCAGGGAAAGTGTGCTACCATTGACCACAAGCTACATCTATAACCTTTTTAATTTTGAGATAGGGTCTTGCTAAATTGCCCAGGCTTGCCTCTAACTTGTGATCCTCCTGCCTCAGCCTCTTGAGTAGATGGGATCACAAGCATATGTCACTGTACTAAGCTCTCTAGTGAGTTTTATTTCAGTTATTATACTGTGTGTGTGTGTTGCTGGGGATTGAACCCAGGGCCTTGTGCATGCAAGCCAAGCACTCTACCAATTCAGCTATATACCCAATATATATATTATATATATATATATTAATACTGGGGATTGAACTCAGTGGCACTCAACCACTGAGCCACATCCCCAGCCCTATTTTGTATTTTTTTTAGAGACAGAGTTTCACTGAGTTGCTTAGCATCTTGTGGTTGCTGAGGCTGATTTTGAACTCCTGATCTTCCTGTTTCAGCCTTCCTGAGCCACTGGGATTGCAGGCATGCACCACTATGCCCAGCCAGAATGTAGTGTGGTTCTTAAAAAAAATTTCTCTTTATTGATTTGATCTATTTGATAAGACTTTGTTATACCTTGTTTTGCTTCTTTCTTTTCTTTCTAAAGCCTGAAGTAAAAGTCACATAATACTCAATTATTGTAAACCATAATATTCAGTGGCATCTATTCATTCATAATGTTATCCAACTACCATCTCTATCTAGTTCCAAAACATTTTTATCATCCTAAAAGAAAACTCTTACCTAGTAAAGAGTCAACCACATTTATCTGTTTTCCAAGTACCTGACAACCACCTATTTGATTTTTGTCAAAAGCTTCTACTTAGCCTAACAGGAAATTTTTTTTTTTTTTTAGTGTAATGTTTTTGAGGTTCATCCATATTATATCCATCCATTATATCAATATTCCACTCTTTTCATGACTGAATAAGATCCCATTTTATGGATATACCACATATTGTTTATTGATTCATTATTTTCTACCTTTTGGCTATGTGATATGTTATGAATATTCACAAAAAAGTATCTGAATACCCAAATTCTCCTGGGAATACCTAAGAGTATAATTATGGTAATTCTATATTTACCTTTTGGAGACACTACTAAATTGTTTCCCCCTTTACTTCCTTTATCATGATTCTTTTGTTGTTGGGACTGGGGATTAATCCCAGGTGCACTTTACAACTAAGCTATATCCTTTTCATGTTTATTTTGAGACAGGGCTTTGCTAAATTGCTAAGGTTCCCACAAAGTTGCTGAGGCTAGTCTTGAACTTGCCATCCTCCTACCTCAGCCTCCTGAGTTGCTGGGATTACAGGCTTGTACCACCATACCCAACTCTCTCTCTCTCTCTCTCTCTCTCTCTATATATATATATATATATATATATATATATTTTAATTTCCTATGGTACTGAGGGTGGAACTCAGGGGCACTCTAGAGCTATATCACCAACCCTTTTTACTTTTTGAGTTGGGGTCTTGCTAAGTTGCCCAGGATGGCCTCAAACGTATGCTCCTCCTGCCTCAGCCTCCTGAGTCTCTGGTATAACACGTATGTGCTACCACATCCAGCTGGATCCTTTTGTTCTTTGAGCATATTTATAAAACCTTCTTTGAAGTAGCAAACAATTCTGAGAAATGAGATATTGTTTCCCCCCAAGAGAAAAGGCAAGTTTACTCACTGCTTGTTATAAAATAGGGTATTCACCAACCAAAGTCAGTTTTTCTCTCCTGTAATGCACCCCCAACATGTGCAGACACCCATCTGAGCCCTTGGTGTCATCATCCATGCAAGATTTGATGTAAAAGGATGACTAAAACAAACATGCTAATACTCCTGGTGCTTGCTGTTCTGAGTAAAAATTTTTGTTGTCTAACCTAGGAATCTTGTTTCTTCTGCTAGCCTCCACGAAACAAAGTTACACCCTAATCTATTTATTGTGTAATATAAAATCAAATCCCAGATCTGACAGTCTGGCAGTGAAAAAATGGATGCTGATAGAAACATGACTTTATTGAAGAGGAAAGTCAAGGATCTTGTGGGACAGCTTGGGGATTTGAGAAAATGCCCTGGATCTGGTGTCAAATGCTGTCACTTAGAGTTAGGTAAAGGCAGAAGGAGAAAGGGTGCTCTATTGTTTTACTTGTTAATAAAACAAGCTGCCTTAATGTTGTGTTGGCTATTGTTCACTCTCCTCCATACAGAAGGAAAAAGGGATGCTGTTAGAATTGGGTAGCAAACCATGTGGCTCCAGTTTAAAGGTAATATGAGCATGGGTTTTAAAGCAATTAAATTCTAATGCTGAAATAAGTGATGTCATAAGTGATGACCTAGTATTTGAACCAAAAACATTAGCAATTCATGTGACTGAGCCACAGGTGGAAGTGTCTCAAAACAAAAAGTGAAAGCAAAGCTTCACCTAATAGTGCAAAGCCAGCTGCTTAAGTACCTGGCTTTTGCCACAGCTCTATGTGACTGGTGAGGAATGCCAGGATGCAGGGTGTAGGGGTGGTCAAAATTACTAAGACTGTGGGGTAAAATGCAGCAGTGTTTGCTAGGGCAGTGCGAAAAGGACATCTGGGCCCTTATGCTTGCTGAGAGGTATCCTGAGGAGGAAGCAATGTCCTTACTCAGGCAACAACCCTGTGGTGGGGACTAGGGAAAGAAAAAGTATCCTTATTATCCTTGCCATCCTCTGCGAGCTAGCCTTTCCCACCACTGCACTTCCCACACTCCCAGTTGGGTAAGGGTAGTCTTCTCTTGGCTGTTGCTTTAATTTGTTTCTTGTGTACACATTAATCTTCTTGGTTTCTGATCCCTTAGCAGAAAATGGCACCCAAATTCAACTGATAGTGTCTGGGTAATGTTCTCAGTGGGGAAAAGAAGCTAAAGTGGCTTTGTGGGTAGCATTTTTTGGCTCTATCAGTGTATTACCAAAAGCTCATTCTTGTCCTGCATGCCATCCCTGAAGTCTGAATTACATTGTTTTTGTTCCTATGGTGGGTGTGTGCTCAAGGACAGCTACCTCTGCCTAGGATGGGGAAGAAAAGTAGTCTTGTTTTCCCTGAGGTTGGGAGGAGGAGAAAGAAAAGAGAAAAAAACATGTCCATTCAAATAACCTCAGTGGCAGAGCAGCAAGGCCTATATTCAAAGCATGAAGTGGTCCACTGTTACAAATATCCTATTATGGTTTTCACTGATGCCCGTGTAACTGGTGTTCATATGTTTTACTTTCCTGGTCCATCAATGTCAGAGTGGCTTCTCCTGTTCCAGGACTGCCACCTGTAAAGAAGTAATAAGTACCAGATAGTTTACCCTCCAAGTTATCTTCCAGTCTTCTCCTAAGAAATTCAGGAAAAAGGGGAAATCACAGCTTTAATGACTTAAGCAGTAGAAGCATTCAGTCAGGCCCTTTTCAAATATAAGATTACTACCTGTACTGGGGATTGAAACCAGGGGCACTCTATCTTTGAGCCACATCCCCAGCCCTTTTATATTCCATTTTGAGATAGGGACTCACTCAGTTTCCCAGGTTGGCCTTGAACTTGTGATCCTCCTGCTTCAGCATCCTGAGTCACTGGAATTACAGGTATGTGCCACCATGCTGAGATATACTCTTTACTTATTTTTTAAATCAATATATTTTTAGATGTGGATGGACCTTTATTTTTTCATTTATTTATATGTGGTGCTGAGAATTGAACCCATTGCCTCACACATGGTAGGCGAGTGATCTACCACTGAGCTACAACCCCAGCCCCATACTCTTTATTTTTTAAGATGGCTATTAACCAGCTTATAAGCTTCAGTTGTAACTGAATGCCTGTACATGAAAGCTGTGGCTATTTAGTCTGATATCAGTATCTTGGGTAGATCAACTAGGACTCTGCACATAACAAGGGGAGAACCAAACAGGTATTAAATGGCATATTCAAGAAAGCAATTGACCTGAACTTCGTGGAATCCTATTTTAATATAAAACAGTGAAACTTTGGGGCTGCTCTGATACTCTTATCACCTGAAGCAAAGTTACTAGCTCACTGGGGCTCTTGACTCAAAGAGTTTCCTATGTATGTCTGGGCCTAGTATACTGGTGGTCTGGCTCCATTGAAAGTGGAAGGTATTTACTAGGTATCAATCAGTAGCTGTCCAGACTGAATGATGGCTTTGGAACAGACTGCAGTATGGGCTAGTTGAGGTATATAGTAAACTGTTACTCTTGTCTTAGACCAGGGTAATGACCTCTAGACCAAATCTGGGCCATTCCCTGCTTTCATAAACAAAGTTTTCTTGGGACACAGTCATGTCCATTCATTTATACAGTGACTAAAGCTATTTTCACACTATAATGGCAAAGCTGAGTGGCCTCCATAATGAAAATATTTACTATACTATTTGGGCCTTTACAAACAAAGTTTGCCAATATCTGCCTTAGATAAAGACAATGTTCCCAAAGTCAACAGATTATATTTTTTTCTGATTCTTGGACTGTTGCCAGTAATCTAATCACCTTGTCTGTCACTTAGAAGAAGAGACTGTCAGATTAAAGATAACTCTCTTTAGGACTGTGAATTATGGAAACAAATAGC